AAAATGGAGTCATATTTTTGATCCCATTAATAGCTTGGAGACCCCCCATTCTTAGCATACAGACATACACACACAGACACACGCGCGGTGCCTAAGAGCAGAACCAGTGCTTGTCTGCCTGGCAGCAGTGTGGTGCAAGCAGGAGAGTGGCCTCTGCAGCAGCTCAGAGCTGTGCAGAGGTGAGGGCAGACAGTGCTGTTCTATCTGGTATGTCACAGGCCATTCCCTCGCACCGCTGTGTTGTCTTTATCCAGAAAGGCTGTCGTCCTTGAAGACATCAAAATGTGGATATCTGCCATTTCTGATGTGTAATGGAGTCATAGTGTAAAAATGCAATTCTTCTTTCTGATTTGAATCTCTTTTCAGCTTCCAGCCCTTCTATCTGGTTTTGCCTTCTTCACTGGATAAAAGAGCTCTTTAAGGGATTTCTTCCCTCGTGAAGGTATTTTTATACACCATGGTCAAAGCATCTCTCAGTTCTCTTTGTGGTAGGCTAAATGGATTGAGCTCTTTAAGTCACTCTCTGGCAAACACTTTCTGCCTCAAATCATTTTTGTGTGTTCTTTTCTGCTCTGACTCTAAAATGTAGATGCCTGATTGTATACATTTTTCTAGTATCATTCTTCTAATGCAGGATAAACCACCTTCCTGGCTTCTATTTGCTCTTCTGCTCTTTGTATATTTGAGGATCCCATTCACTCACATGGCACAGGGAATTATGTCTGTTTGTCTGTTCCGCACATTTAGACGTTGCTTTCCAGTCTGTGTTTCCCTCAGCATTTTGGGAAATACTTTGTTCCCAGATGTGAAATTTCTGCCAGTAGTTGCCTGGAACAGCCCCCTTTTCCCTGGGGTGCCACTTTGCCCCCCTGGCCTTCAGCAGGAACAGAGCTGCCTCCTCCAAATCCAAGGACACCAACCATGAGGCACAGAGGGCCCATGAGTAGGCTTGGCTGTCCCTGAGTGTGCTTACCCGCACCCAGCTGCCCAGCTCTCAGAGCATCAGCTGGTGGTTGTTCTGCTTGTTCTGGAAGAAAATTGTGTGATTGCTTTTAGCTGTAGCTGGGAGATTGAATGACATGTGGAAGGAATAAATTGCTGCATGGTAAGGAAGATGCATGTAAGATTTGAGACAAAGAGGAAAAGATCTTTTCCACTCCCCTTTGTTCTCTTTTTAAAGTCACTTGTGTTTACTGTGCATAACTGTACACATATATGCACACTTATCACTCTGAACTCCTGCAGAGCATCCTATCACTCCTGTAGGGCCCTGGAAATACACTGGGAGGACACAGGATTTATTCTCCTGTTGCTTAACTAAGGATTGGATTATCCAGAGGGGCAACTCCCATGCGGGCATTAAGTAAGCAGCCAGATCCCTACAAAAGTTCATCTTCCTAGTGCTATGCAGCTATACAAGCCAGAAGTGTTACGCTGACCATTTGGAAACTGTGGCTCCTTTTTGGCTCCGTGAACACCACCTCGGCTCTTTCAATACCCGATTTTGCTCCCAGGGGCCAAGCACTTGATTGTGTCCCTGGGCTGCCTTAAAAGTGGGCAGCTGAGGCTGCAGGGGCAGGAGGGCTCCCAGGAGGCTTAGCCAGGGCCAGCCCGTGTATTTGAAGTCGCTCTGTGGCACAGCTGAGGGGGCTTGGCCCCATCACCCCCTTGGTGTAACCAGCCTCTCGCTTGCCCCGCGGTGGTGACCTGGCGGCGGAGCTGCAGCATCGCTGCTCCCGACTGGAGCGCCTGTAACTTTTGTTATCAGCAGGGAGCTGTTTGCAGCCTGCAAGTAGCACACAGTGGCTTTGGGTGGTGTTAAAAAAGAGCCAGAGTGAAAAATCAGAAGTCACACTGTACCGTCTTCCCAGATGTAACAGGCTGACAATACAGCCTGTGTTTCCCGTTCCAGGACATCTTGTCGCTCTCTGCCTGTGCCCCCACAGGGCACCCCTGTACCCACGTGCACACAAGGACAGGGCCCTGCGGGAAGCAGCTGGGCTGTCCCCTCACTGCTGCGGATCCCTGCAAGTCACAGGGTGAGTCAGGCTGTGGGAATGAGCCGCTGGAGACCAGCACAGGCAGCGGCAGGGGTGATGTGCAGCCAGAGGCTGGGTAGCCAAGATGCTAGTGGGGGTGTCTAGAGAGAGAAGGAAGAGGCAGCAGTGGCAGTTGGTGGAGAAAGGAAAATGCAGAGGCTGGACAGAGGGTGTAGGAAAGAGAAAGGAACGGCAGGGAACGAGGAGGAGGAGGAGGAGCAGGAAGTCTAGGGGCCGGAAGGCTCGGGGTGCAGTAGGAGGATGAGGGAGCTGGCAGACAGAGCAGGAGCAAAGAGCGTTGTCAGTGAAGCTTGGATTAGTTTGGTTTTGGAGCTCTGTAACTGTATGAGTGCTGCACTTAGCCCGAGTTGCTTGCCTCGGCGCTCGGCTCCTGTGGTGAGGCTGCATCTCAGCCATGGCTTGTAAGAGGCAGCCGTGTAGATCACCAGTTCCCTGCCACACAGCTGATCACCAGGTTTCATCTCCATACCCTTGGACGTTGAGAGCAGCAGTGCCAGGCTACAGAGATAAAGCTCTTGGGAAAGAGCTCTGCTCCCAGGTGCTAGGGAGCATTTTCTTGCCTGCGGAGACCTTTTGCTTGGGCTATGCTCTTATTTTCAGGACACACAACCCAGGGCTGCTCCCCAGTGATGTCAGCAGGGCTTTTCGTCATCGGCTGGGAAGAGCTTTTGCCAAAAAAAAGAAAAGGAAAGGAGAAGAAATATTCCATGTGGGAGGGTGATCTAGATAAAGAAGGCCTGGCTTTAAACCTGTTATTAAAACCAGAAACGTGAAGTTTTCATGATGAGTAGGTAAACTCGTGTACCCCAAAATGACTAAACACACAGCACTGGAAGTAACACCTTTGTGATAATCCTCGTATTTCCTTCAGCTGCTGCACAGCGCGTGGGGCTCACGTCAGCTGGTGGGGCTCCTTTCAAAGCTTTCTTCCTTTTTAAACTCTGGAATTAATTTATAACATAATCCAGCAGAGAATGGAGTGCTTTTACTGTGAAGTGAGTGTGTCCCTCAGCCGTACCCGTGCGTGCATTAAGAGCCAGGACAGTAGTTCTGTAAGGAGATTTTTTTTTAAGGCAATTCAAAGAGGACTTGGGCTGCAGCCCCAAAGGCAGCTGTGCACTGAGGCTCGTAGAGGAAGCTCTGAGGGATGTCACTTCACAGCATGCCCTTTGGCTCCCAGGTTTTTTCCCCCTCCCTTTTTTTTTTTTTTCCCTTGTACTGGCTGCAGCAAAGGCTCCATTATTTGGCAGCGTGGCATTGCTTTTGTCTATAAATGGAAGCGGTTGGCCCGTCTCCCAGTATAACACAAGATAGTCCTGTGTATCAGTTATGCAATCAGTAGGTTGATGACTTCATCAGAAGTCGGGGGAGGGCCAGGGGGTGGTAGGAAAAAGCCTTTGCCATCAGCTCTGCTGGAGACAGCTGATGTCTGTGTGTGTCCCCCCACAGCAAAGAAAGCAGGAGCTCAGTGACAGGGGTGGGTGAAAGGGCTCAGTGCGGGAGGAGCTGAGGGATCCTCAGCAGCTGTAATTCCCTCACCCCAGCTTGGGGGAGCCCCAGCAGCTGCCGCAGCCCTTGCCCTTAGGACGCTGCAGGGACCATGCTTGACCAGGTTGTAAAGTGCAGCATGAGTTGGGACTGGAGAAGCGGAAAAAGGAGCAGGGAGGGAACTTTCAAACCAGGGCAGATATTAAAAAGGGAAAGAACCTAAATATCGGAGAACTGCCTTTCAGCAGAGAGCCCTTCAGGGAATATCCGTGCAAAGTAGAGATGCGGACAAATTGTATTTTGTTATTTCCTCAGAAGGGTCCTTGAAAACCTGACCTTCATGCAGAAAGGCCGATCCTAATTTCCCAAGCTACATGCAAGCATTGATTTTAACCCTTTCACTGACTGGGTCGGGGTAGGTGCTGCAAGATCGCCCTTCCCTACGTTCCAAATCACACAATAATTGACATTCCTCAAACCCGTCCGTGAAGCAGGTGAATCTAAACCTCACTCTGGCGGGCTTTGCACAAAGGATGCTAAAGTGATACAGGTCAAGTTGGTGTTTTTAAATGAGTACCCATCCCTATTCATCAATTAAAGAGGTTTTGAGGGCTCTTCACACGCAGGAGGAGCACCCGAGGCAGGGAATGGTCCAGGCTGGCCCCGGGGAGGCTCCGGTCCCGCTTTGGCCGGGCCGCGGGCGGGCAGCGACACCTGCCGGTGTCCCCCGGTGATCCCGGCCCTCCGCCGGGACAAGGGCTGGAATTCCCCCCGGCCTTCCGTCGGTCCCTGAAAGGCAGTAAATTGGATGAGGAACATGAAGAGAAAGCGGGAGTGGGTGCAGGAGAGGGAAAGGAGCCTGTCCTGCGTCCTGCCGGCCACGCACGTTGGTCCAGTCCTGCGGGAGGGAAATCTCGAATAAACATAATGCGGTGAAATCCGGAGGTTCTGGAGCAGTGTAAGGAGAATTAATGCTGCCAGCTCATTGTGTGCACCCAACACCTTAGCTTCTCAATCCAGAGGACTGTTTTAAATTGTTGTTATGAGGAGTGTTTTAAATCATTATTATGAAGAGAGGTAAGTGGAAAGGAAGAGAAAATGTACTTGTCTCCATAAGAAGGGAGAAAAAGTTTAGAAAAACATGACTCGGAAGTTACATGTCCTGCATGGAAAAAAAACCTTCGCACACAACTTCATTATTTCATTATAAATGAATTATAAAATGCTCTTGCTTTCCCTGAGGGGCTTTAAACTCCAGGAGAAAAGAGGAACCAGTTCCCTGTGGGGAACAGCCCATGGTCACAAGCCATGTGCATCTTTCCAAGGACCCACTTTCTGCAAGCTCCATACTTCATCCACAGATTCAGTGCTTCCTCAGTTTAAAGAGCTGTCACTTCTCTTGCCTGTGGAGAACCCCAAGTAACGAGGCCTTCTCTCTCTCTCTTTGCACAGGAGCACCAAGTGGGATTGTCGCGGACCACAGGGCCGATGCAGCCTTCTGTGCCACCAGGCTCCAGCAATGTGGTCACGGGCACGAGCTCCGGGGGTCCCTTCCTAGGGAACCAGCCTCAGGCAGCCATCATGAAGCAGATGCTGATAGAGCAGAGAGCCCAGCTCCACGTAATAGAGCAGCAGAAACAGCAGTTTCTCCGAGAGCAAAGGCAGCAGCAGCAGATCCTAGCGGAGCAGGTATAGTATCCATCTGTCTCAAACACTGCAGTGCTCGCTGGTATGAGAGCGTGAGCGCTACAGACAACACCAGCCTTTCCTTCTAGTAATTCCTTCCTTTAGTAATTCTCTCTGTGTGGCTCCTATCGTGGTATTTCAGCAATGGTTGTCAAAGAAGAGGCATCCATCTCAGTCCTACCATTAGCTTGGCAAATATTACCTGTGTTCCCAGTGGTGGATTTGGCATTTGCATGGGATTTTAGGCAGTGGGAAAGTTAGCTCTTAGCCTGGCATCTCATGGTCAGTTTACTCCAGCAGAAGCAGACTCAGCTACAGCTACAGGCACAGGTCCTCTCCCCTAGCTCTGAGTGTGGTCTTGCACTGGCAAAATCTATGTACAGCTGCACTGATGTGGGACAAAGAATGGATGTGGGTTAAAAGTAACCTTAGTTAATTTAAAAATAAAAAAGTATTTACCCAGATCAGTTCCTTAATCTGGTTTATTGCATGCCAGTACAAGCAGTTAGGTTAGCACAAAGGAGAGATAGCAGCAAGGGGAGAGCCAGAGACTGGAGTGGGAGAGCAATATAACCACTCTCACAGTGGCAATGTGGAAGACCTGCATTGGAGCCTATCACCTGGCTTCCTGAGCTCTTGAGCTTTGCAAAAATTACCCAGGCAGAATGGTGATGCATGCTTAATTCAGCTGTAGTTTAAAGCAGCCTAGGAGAAAGTCAGTGGAAAGTCACACTGTTGAGTTCCTATAAGTTCATACCAAAACTGAAGTTGCAGTCCCCTAATGTTATCTAGATAATATTCTGATAGGTCAGCAGTTGCTTGAAGCTTGGCTTATCCCCTCTTGCTGGGAAAACATGGCTTAGGACCTGTAACACATGCTTATGAATGCAGGGATTAGTACTTCCTTCTTTCCCACCTTTGCCATTCTCTTACCTTTGTTACACATCTTTGGTTTTGGACACAGTGTTTGTACAGCTGCAGATGATGCTGCAAGACATGTCCTTTTAATAAATGCTTAGTTGAGCATACCCTAGCATCTGAAAGCTCTGATAAACTCTCTCTGCTTTTATAATCACCCTTGATTCTGTTTTACAGTATTCATGAGTATTCATAGAAAACAGCCACAGAGGAGCAGTGTGGTCTGGATCAAGAGAGAGATGCATTTTGCAGTCAGCCACTCCCCAAATATCATTCACTGAAGCACAAGAGGAAATGTGCTTTTGTAGCCGTTTCTGGTTTGGCTCAGTAATGGTCCTAGGCTGCAGTGCTTGAGTCAGGATGCAGTACTCCTTGCAGCTGACTGTTTTGAGTGCAGAGGTGAGGGAAAGTCTTGTACCAGGAACACAAACTTCTAGACCTTAGCAGGAATGAGGGAAGGAAAGTGTGTGTGGCTACAGCTGCCCTTAGACCTCAGTGAGCAAAGTTAGTCACACTCCTCCCTCTCCTTTCTGCCTGACAACAGTGCAGTTCATGCTGTAGAGGTCAGGATGAAGTGGCTGTAAGTAAGGAGAGATGTTGTCAGCTCAGTACTTGTTCCTTTTTGAACCAAAAAGAGTCCACGTGCTGAGTAGCCCAAGTGCTCTCAGAAGGACTCTTCAGATGACTCTACTTGTCTCTCCAGAACAGCTCACCAGATAAGAACTGCTGCAGTTCTGCTGCAGTACTTTTGCCACCAGCCCAGTTCTCAGCTCACTAATTAATTAATCATCTCTTTCTCTTCTGCTTTCTTTCCCTCCTTCATTTTCAGCAGTTGCAGCAGCAGTCACATTTGCCTCGGCAGCATCTGCAGCAACAGCGAAGCCCGTATCCAGTGCAACAGGTCAACCAGTTCCAAGGTAAAAGTCAAATTATTTTTCCTAATTTGGAGTCAATATATGCCCCTATACTAGGGGCGTGAAACCTCATGCATTTTGTGAAGACCAGGGTTTAAGCAGTGTGCCAGAAGAGGAAAACAGACTGTTGCACACACCACATATTTTACCAAAGGGGAATGCCCAGGTTTGTGTCTTCAGTTAGGTTTATAATTTTCTTTTGGCTCCCTTCAGTGAAAGCTGCATTTTTTTTTTATGCCTCTTTGACATCTAGACATCATGGATTCATTAATGGGTTTGTCTTGTTTGCCTCCACTCTTATGATGCTTTTTTTTTTTTCAGCTAGCATTTCTCACTGTGTCTTGGTCTTACCCCTCTTAATTCCCCACTTTATCTAATTTGATGAGCAGAGAATTTCAGAGAGGGCATCCTTAACTGGAGAAGTGACTCATCAATGTCAGGTGTGGGAAACACAGTGAAATACCTGAGATGTAAATAGAGATTTTTTTTAATTATCTCAAAAAAAGCAAGGCCTATTTTTATGTGCTCCCAGGTAACTGAAGGATGTAAGTACAATAATTTGGCTTAGGAAAAGAAGTTTTCTGAGATTTTTAGGTGCAAAGCATCATCTGAATGTCTTCACTAACCATGGGTTCTCAATAGACGTGAAATGGACACACACTTGCACTTTATATTCATGATAGTGTCATGTAACTGCAACAGTTCTGGTTCCCAGGACATGAACAGGCAGCCACACCTTCTGCTGATATATATCAGGGTGGCTTCTTCTAATTGCCTTATCATTTTTATCTTTGGCAGTATAAGTTCTGTATGAAATGATTTTTATCCCCCAATAATTCATTTGCAAAATCAGAAAGTGTGTGTGCACTGCCACACACTGAGATGCACATGTACAATCTTTCTGCATTAATACTTCTTTGAAACCTTTCTTTCATATGTATTATTTAAAAGAAACAGAGAAGGGAGTTTAGGCTAATCTGACAGAGCAAGGAATTAATTTTCATAAATGAGCTAATATAAGTAGTTCACCATTTTTTCCTATTCAGTCACATGAATGTAATCCAGTGCAGTAGGTTATGTGTAAATGAGGCCGGAAGGTGGCCCAAAATCTTAAAATCTGTTGCATCTCTCTTTTAACTACTCCTTGTCTGATCTCCTGTCTCTTACACCAAGCACAGTAGTTAACAAAAGTAGTATGTGAACCCACTTGCTGTTAGTGGCTCCTTTGGAGCTTTTCAGCTGCCATTTTCAATTAAAAACTAGCTAAAGATGCATTAAGATTTCAACATGATCTGTATCTTCAGCACTTGCTGGAGTCATCTTAAAAAGAGACTGTTTCTAATCATCAAAGGAGATGATCTAAATTAAGAAAAATCAAGGGGACCCCGGTGCCAATCATTAAGAAAGAGGTTTGATAGCAAGGCTAAAGTAAAAGCTGCTGCTACATGTGCCCTGTTCAAGTGTGATCCAGATGGTCTCTCTTCATGCTACAAAATGTTTCATTTATCTATATGCTGGAGCTAAAAGCATCCTTCAGAAGCTTATCATGCTGCAGTAAAAGAGAGATGTATCCTCTGCATTATGTGCTAAACTATAGAAATGGCACTTCCTTTTATCCAGACCCATTTCTCATGGAAACCAAGCCAACATGAATAGCAGGGACCAGTATTCTCCACTCTCCATGAATGTTCAGATATGTTGTCTGCCACTGAGGGACAACAAATAGGGGCTGATTTAAGAACATTCACATTCTGTTGTACAGTTCTGAACTTTTAAAGCAACCATTTTATGTTTATGCCTTGCATTCAATAACATTTGAGCCGGGAGCAATTGTGTGCCTCATGCACTCTGAGCTTCACCTGCAGAGTACTGTATTTAGTTCGGTATGGTAGTGACTCAAACCTACATGGCATAATCTGAGCTCCAGGTAATTGTTTTTAAATAAAGATAGTAAATACAGAAGCCTATTGGCTTCCCAGAAATCAATAGCTCCCCCCTACCCTTGAAAGGAAGATGCAAACATGGTTCAGTTATCTGCCACGGTGTGGAATTTAACAAGGTTAGGATTTTCTGGTTTCCCATCACTGGCCTAAGGTGAAGTAAAATGTGCTTATAGTATTGATTCACTAATACACTCTCTCTGCTTTAAATGTCCACAAAACCCCAATTTTTCTTCTTTCCATAGTCTTAATCAGTAGCAATGCTATAGAAAATCCATTCATTTATGCCTCCTGAGCTATTAAAAAATTGATTGGCCTTCTGAGCCTGACATTTCCATTTTCAAGGCTTACTTTCGAGAGACAATGGAGATATTTAAAAGAGAGCTTTAAATGGTAAACTGAAGTTCAGTTGCTTTGCTGCCCCTGAAGAAGACCATGAAGTCTTTCCCATTTCCTTCCTAGAAGCTGAACTGAGTGTAGCTGAAGAGGATAAGTGCTACTGAATCACAGGGCATATGCAACTTTAAAATCTTAGAGTCTTTCTTCTTTTCTTTCACAGAGCAGGGTGCACATTGTAGTGGATCCTGGGGAGAAAAAGTGCACACAAAAAAGAAAGGCTCACATTTACTCTTTACAGGGGACTTTGACTCCCAAGTCAGTTTTTAAAAATTTAATCCCTAGTCCTAACAAAGTAAGAGAAAAGCCCATTTTAGCCCTGTGGCTCCTGTGACCATCAAGCTTAGATACTTGATTAGGTTATTACCAGGGAGGCAACCCTGGCTGTAATCATGTATTAAACATCCAGTTGTGTTGCCTTGATTTTTCAAGAATCTGAAGTCATGAATCCCTTTGGGTACACATCCCAAAACTGTCCTAATTGAGAATTACTTAGTGAGTAAATCATTGGCCTTTTAACCTTGCCATCCTCATGTTAGGCCTGAAGGGAAATTAGGCTGGAATGGAATTCTCTGCTGAGCAGTGTCCCGCTTCACCAACTGAATACACAACACCATCGGGCGATTCCTGTTTAGGAACAACACTGGAGCTGTGTTGGCTCTCACCTTCCAGGAGAGGGAATTTGGCAGGTCAGGACAGAGGCTGCAGCCAAGGTGAGGTGGGGAACATGTAGCCTCTGAAAGGCAGTAAACATTAGGCAGCAAGCACATCTCCCAAGGATGGGTAACCTTCTGGCTCTCTGCTGACCTTCACATGAAAGGTTGTTTTATTCACTTGGAAAGCACAGCAATCTGAAATCCTACTGCGTTGCGAAAGGCTCCTACAGATTCTCTCTTGTGCAAAGACATGTTAATTAAGGTTTACAGGGTTGTGGCTTTTTTCTTACCTTCCTCCCTTTTTGGCGTAGGTTCACCCCAGGATATAGCAGCTGTGAGAAACCAAGCAGCACTCCAGAACATGAGGACATCCCGAATGATGGCCCAGAACGCGAGCATGATGGCAATGGGTCCCTCCCAGAACCCGAGCACGCTGCCCACGACTGCGGGCCAGTCGGATGTGGGCATGGCTCCTTACAGCAACGCCTCCTCCAGCCAGCCGGGAATGTACAGTATGAGCACAGGGATGAGCCAAATGTTGCAGCACCCAAACCAAAGCAGCATAAACATGGCACATAATGCAGGCCAGGGGACGAGGCAGCCTGCCTCTGGACAAGCGGTGGGAATGGTTGGCAGTTTTGGTCAGAACATGCTGGTAAACTCCGCTCTTCCCCAGCATCAGCAGCAGATGAAAGGACCTGTGGGCCAGGTCTTACCAAGGCCACAAGCACCACGACTTCAGAACCTGATGGGGACTGTCCCTCAAGGAACACAAAACTGGCAACAGCGAGGCTTGCAAGGCATCCCTGGAAGGACTAGCGGTGAAATGGGGCCCTTCAATAACGGCACCACGTACGCGATGCAGTCTGGGCAGCCACGGCTGTCCAAGCAGCACTTCCCGCAGGGGCTTAATCAGACAGTTGTGGACACAAGTGGAACAGTAAGAGCCCTGAACCCGGCTCTGGGAAGACAGTTGCTGCAACCACTACCTGGGCAACAGGCAGCCAGCCAGGCCAGGCCCATGGTGATGTCAGCAATCAGCCAAGGGGTCCCCACCATGTCAGGCTTCAGCCAACCCCCGACGCAGCAAATGCCAGGTGGTAACTTCGCTCAGAGCAGCCAAGGCCAAGCATACGAGAGGAATCCCACTCAGGACATACCTTACAACTACAGCAGTGAAGGAGCAGGGGGGTCATTCTCCAGTTTAGCAGAGGGCGCAGACCTCGTGGACTCCATCATTAAGAGCGGACCAGGGGATGAGTGGATACAAGAACTTGATGAGTTGTTTGGAAACCCCCAGTGAATGGGCTTGTACAGTCTGGAGCTTTGGTTGTTACATTTGAAAAAGAAAAGAGAGAGTTGGATGTTCTCCCCATCCCTGGATGGTTGGTTTTGGTTTTTTGTTTGAATTGTTTTGGTTTGAGGTTGTTTTGTTTTCTGTTGTTTTTAATCATGCAAACTGAGCTGATCTGTAGCCAACCTTGGAAGATTCAGGGGACGATGACAACATTGGCATCTCAAGGCATTCTACCAGGCAACCTTTGCTGTATGGCAGTGCCCACTTTGTGTCCATATGAGGCAGAGTGGGGAAACTGGAAAGGCCAGCTGATGCCTCTGGTTGGGAAAATTTGTTCTTTCCCCTCTTCAAATGAGGTTTCATTGCATAGTGGTATGGGGTGCTCCCAATGTCTCCCACCTCATATAACTGTGAGCACTGCAGCTTTCAGGGTAGCAGATGAAAAGCCTGGAGCAAAGCCCACAGATGTCCATGGGCAATTGCACAAGCCCTGGTCAGAAATGGGCTTAACCCCGGGGGTAGGCAGGTCTCAGTGAGCCGTGGGGTCTGGGCTGTCATAAGGGAACGTGCAGCACTCACGTGATAAACCTGAACAAATCACAGGGAAATCACCATTTTCACTGCCGAGATAAAACTTCAGTACAAGTGCAGGAGAACATTAAATTTGTCAGTGTTGTGAGGACAGTTTGATTATGGGACTGCTGCTGGAGACAGCTTAGGTGGGTGGGTTAACTTAATGAGCTGCTTAGTCCCCTTGGGACTTGCAATAGTGCTTCCCTGTCAGAGCACTTTGGCATGTACCTGCTGCCTGGGGGTGTTAAAGGGCTGAGAGGTACCGAGAGACATCAGCATAGGTCCTGAGCGGGTCCCTCCCTCTCCTTCCTTCACAGTATGTTCTCAGTTCACTTCCCTCCCCTCCTGTCCTTAAATGTAAAGCAAGGTGAGCTGGCTGCAATTTTTTTCAGGTGAGCCACAAAGGAGCAGGCAGGGGATGAGAAAACAGGCATGAGAAAACATACAGTGAGGATCTGGCATACAGAAGGAGTTTCTCTTCCTCATTTGAAAAGTGCAAGTTTAGCAGGTAGTATTACCCCGGGATGTCTGGTCTCTCAATGGGCTATGTTCAGTTTTAAACAGATGTTTGGTCTAATCTCTCTGATTTGCTGGAATAAAATTCAGTGCAGCTTTTGAAGAACAGGAGCCAGTGAAGGACTACTGTAAAGACCGTTCATGAATGGGTAAAATAATTGATATTACAAACATGGGCTCTGCCCAACTAAGGTTTTACGTGATAGCAATGTATCACTATCTCCACTGTGTGGACCAGTGCTGACCAGCACTGTAATGAAGTTGTGATATATCTCGCACAATATCAGGTCACCAGCCATTCTGAATGTGTAAAGCAGCAGTTCCCAAGCTGCAGTCAGAAGCTGAGGAAAGGTGTTCTCCCAAACCTCGAATCTTTTTAGTGTTTTCAGCTGAGAGCTGCTTATCAGGTTATATAGTGGTGCATAAAAAACGTTAACGTGATCCAGAGTCCAGAACTTTTGGACTACTACCCTCTGACGTAGTGCTGGCCTCCATTAGCCATCAGCTGTGCTCTGCAGCAAAAGTGTACGACTATCAGTGCCACCTCTCTAGCTACCAATTACCTCCTTGTGTGCTGCTCTCCTTGGGCCCGGCGGTGTGAAGTGCCGAGCCGCTGAAATCCACGGAGGCTGAGGGCATTGGCACTTTGCAGTTTCACATCCTGCCTTTCCCTGTGGAGTACAGATATGCATCACATCAAAGAGTGGGAGCAAATGGGCCTGGAACCATCTCAGCGCCCCATTGGGTTCCCTTTTGCACAGTATCACCTTGCAGGGCTTTCCTAGAGGAAGGGAATTACCTGTTTTAAATGCTATGATATCAGCAGGACAAGCTGCATTTTTAATGTGCTCAAGGTGAGCTGTCAATCCAGCTTGCCCCGGCTGATATAATTTTTTAAAACAGCTTTAGTTGCATCTCTTTTAGCCAACCCCTTTTTAAAACACAAGGACCAATTCCAGTTCCTGTTGACGACCATCAAGGTTTGCCTGTCTCTGCTTCAGCAAGGAGCCAGGTTGGGCCCTAAGTCAGTGTAAGGGAGCACCAGCCAAAGTTTTTGGTTGGTCTTGAGTGTAAGCACCTCTTGGTCAGAATGGAAGGGAAAGGCAAACACTGAGAGAAACAGTAACCAAGGTGCTGTGTCTCTGTGTGTGTCAGGCACACATCTGTCCAGCGCTGTGTGATGGAGTTGTGACAGGGTGGGGAGCCATCCCCAGCCTGCTGGATGGGGGGCAACGCTGGGGGTGGCACAGCCTCCCTTCCTTGGGTGCCAGAGCTGGGAAAGGAGGGTTTAGAAACACACAACCACCATGTGGCAGCAAAATGCAAGTCCCTGCGCATCAGGGAGAGTCAGACTTTGGTGAATAAATGGTGATGAAGACAAGTCTCTGCTGTCTTTGTAAAGCTTCCTCCAAATACTCCATACTGGGATCAAGTACTAGAAAGTAGATTTTATTCGATTTGGGGTTGTTTTTTTTTCTTCTTTCTTCCTATGGTGCTGATGTATATGTAATGTTAAAAAAAAAAGTTATTTGTAAATATGTTTTTACAATTCTACAGATATCACTGGGTCTACTATCTGTAAAATATATACATATAAATATATATATATATACTGTTTGTTTAAAATAGAGTATTTTTATTTCTTTCCTTAACTCATCCTTACTGCAGTGGTATTGCACTTCAGATGACGTCTAATTACTAATTTGTACTGTATCCCTGACAGCAACTTGCTCCATTTTATTCAGATTTTTCTAGCTTTCTGGTTTTACTTTGTACATTAAGCATTGCTTATTTCCTTTTAAGACCTGTACAGAGCTCTGAAAATGTAGAGAAAGACATGATGTTAACACCACTTTTAAAGAAAAAGAAACAAAACAACAAAAAAAAAAAACAACCAAACAAAAAAAGACACCCAAATAAAAGATGGTTATCTGACTTCTGCGCCTTGATGAGTGATCTTCCAAGGAGGGGAGGGAAGCTGGATGCAGGCAGGCATGTGTGAATCCCTGAATCCCAGGCAGCCCTGCCAGGTAGCCCCCAACAGCTGTCTCTATTCCTGTGGCAGCTGAGCCACAGACTGCTGTAACGAGCTGCTGGCCAGGGAGTGCTTCACCACTTTCTGCTGTGCTTTTGGGCCATGGTGCCCCTTTCTCAAGCAAGGTGAGCTACCAAAACTTCCTGTGCTCTGAGGCGAGGCCTGTGCTCAGGCAGATACTGTGGGGCAGTTGGTCCGTAATTGGACCCATTAAATGTGGCAGCTCCAAACTTTTGTGGGTTTTGTGTGTAAGGAGCAAAAGTGGGGAGTAGGGAAGTGCTTTCAGGGGAGGAGACAAGATGGAGACCCTAGGATTTGGGAGTCCTGTGGCTGAAATTTGAGGAGGTGAGATGGGGTGGAAGAAGGGAGATGTGGGGTTGGATGCAGAAGTTGGAGAAAAGAGGTGGGGAAACTGGGGAAGCATGAAGACACAGAGTAGTTCCCTGTCACCTACTGCTACGACAGGATGAGAATGGTGTTGTCAGAAGCCTTTTAGAACATAGATGCAGACTTGTTGAATGTGTATGACCTGTTCAAGGTAAGCATGCCACATAGACTTCAAGGCTTGACACCACTTTGTACATGTTTCCAGCCTATGGGGGAGTCGTGAGGGTTCAGACATCGGACCTTCAGGATGCCAGTGTGGCTTGGCTCCACGTACAGCCTTAAAGGTGAGGTTCCCCTTCTCTCCTTAATGCCACTCCAAGACATTTATCATTCTAGATATGGATAAGGAAGAACAAAGAAGGAGACTGGCCAAAGAAGGAGAGCAGCTTGCTGGAGTGTACACCTCAAGCATGTGCTTGCTTATAAGAGATGCTTTCAGCAAGAGGCCGTTGGGTGCCAACTGGCTTTGAGGCTGCAGTGGGGACCACCATCATTTCTGTTAGTGACCAACAGGTGAACATTTACAACAGGAACATTTGCATCAACTCACAGTGCGTGCTGAATGTGCACCGTGATACTGACTCCTCCACCAGCCTGCAGGAAGTGGTGTTCTTTTCACTACATTCATACCAAAGACTGATACTGCCAGCATCCATCTGTTAGAGGTGTGTTTTGATTTTAATTATAGATGAGTCAGTCTTTAACACTTTTCCATCACGGACATTCTGCCCTGGCTTACTGGGGACAAAGCTGTGACTCAGAAAACAGGTGGCATCCTCAACTCCAGGCCTACTTCTGCCCTCTCATTAGCTGGTGGAGCTCCTAAAATGTTAGGTTCATGTTTATCCCCTTGCACTCTGGCTCTGTGTTGCCAGATAACGCTTTGCAGCCTCACACCTGTCTTTTTTGACATATGAAATTGTCCTTGTGTGTGAAAGCAGTTTGTCTCTTTCTGTGAAAGTGGAGGGGAGGAGAGGGAAGCTATCTATAAACACACAAAAGAACTACAACAGGTAATCTTGAAATGGTATCATTTCAGAGGCAAAGAAAGACCTATTTAAACACAGTTAATGACCTCTGGTCTCCTCTAATCTGTATTTCAAGTCTGCTACATGGTTTGGACCTTTGTCTTTGTTTTGGTTCGGGAGGCAGCACTTCCTGCAGCCTGTGACTGACTGAAGGCATCACCAGCAGGTGGGTAGGTGGATTTTCCATATTTCAGCCCATAAAAGAAAAGTTAATGGAATAATTCCTGGTGATTTATGTGGTGGTTAAATTTGGCCCTGTTGTACTTTCTCCCTGGAGTTAAGTGATGGAGAGCTGCCCTTTCTGTAGCTGTGTCAGCTCCAGTCTGTTCACCGTCATGATCACCATCACCATCCTTGGCAGCCATCATTGGACCCAAGCCTCGCACCTTTGTACTTGTTTAATTTTAATGTTTTAAATGCCATTTCAGCCTTTGCTACCTGCAGGCATTAAGTTGTGCCTTTTTATCATGAGATAACTCCGTAGAATCAGAATGGTTTGGGCTGGAAGGGACCTTAAAGACCATCTCATTCCAAACCCCCCCTCCAATGTGTCCATATATGTCCACCTTTTTCATAGGAAAGGTTACTGTGGACCTGATCCACCTCTCAATTATTTTGTGGTTAGGTTGTCAACCTCAGTACACTATTAGAAAGCTTCTGTGCCTTCTGTTTGTCTGGGCTGGGTCTCCCCTTCAGAAGTGTGACGTGGCTACAGCCTGCCTTCTTCAGGAGGCTTTCTGTGAGGACTGGGAGGGCCTCACTTCTACAGAAAGAGTGTTTGAGCGTGTGTTGGACTGTAAACATGTGTATAAAAATCAAAAGATCTTCGCAGAAACACAGGGCCAAGAGCAGCTTTAAGTGTTTTCTCGAGAAAGCAGTGTTTCCATATATGCTTATACAGCAGTGGGACTGGATTTACTTGGGAAACAGGGACCTCCCAGCAACATATTGCATGAAATTATGTTTCTACATTTGGCACTGCTGGGGGAAATGAAGAGGAGTGGAGGGAGACTACAGAGGCGCTGGCAAAGCTGAAGGACACTGGGTAACATGCTTGTAGTGCCAGTTGCAACTAAATTACTTAGGGAATTAATGGGTTTAGTTTTATGTAATTTGTTTAGAGATTGCAATACCATACCAGGGAAAGAGAGCATTTAATTGCAAATGTAGATGTGACATGACATTCTGTCTTACTGACTTTTTCAAGAGTGTAGGGAAAGGAGAAAGTGTAAACAGCTCAGGAAAAACATGCATTTTACATTGCAACAGGCTGTTAGTAAAGAGCTCTGATCCTTTATTCACATGCAGCTTATCATCTTTTTGGTGTCCAGGGAAGGCATCCACGTTGTTTATTTATTTATTTCTCAAAAAGACAGTCAGTCTTCAGAGCAATTTACGGACTTTCTTCATAATGCTGAAGTCCAGGTATTCATCCAGAAAGCTGCTAACAATCCCAGCTGCACCCAGGGCTATCAAGCAAATTAGAACTATCAAATTCAAATAAAAGCCTGTTAACCTAGAAGTGGAAAGCAGAAAAACACTGTTATAAGCTGTACATGGTATATTACAGTGAAATTGTCCACAAGAGTTAGGAAGAGGTGTGTGGAATCAGAAAGGACCACTGCTGCAACACTAGCTTGGGGTGTTTTAGGAATAAACCGTGACTTTTCACATGACACACATGACTTTTGCTGTTGGGCAGATACCCACTTCTATTGGGCAGATACTCTCTGCTGAGCTGACAAGTCTGCAATTGGTTATCACTTTGACTTGGAGATGGATTTTTGGACCAGAAAGGAAGAGCCTGAGTATCCTACTGGTGCCTAAAGACTTGATATAAGTAGCCTTTCTGAGCATGCCATGTCTAGATGCAGATTTGAAAATGATGAAGTATGGGATTTTTTCAGTTTCAAGAGAGCATAGAGGAAGTCTTTTGCTTAGCCCTAGTTGTAACCACTTCTTTGAGCATGCAGTCTAGATTTGTCTTTATAACTAGCAGGCCTATAGTCAGTGATTAGGATTGAGATTCAAGGTGAAAACAAATTAGTTTCTTGCTACTAAGGCTGCTGGAGGCTTGTTGTATGTTTTGGGGCCAGGTTCTACATACCTGACTTGTGCTGACCTGTTGCTAATTGAGGCTCCTGCTGGAGGGTTAGTACCAGGCAGGCCTTGGTAGCAAAGCCATTTCCCAGGGCTGCCAGGCTGGCTTTCAGCACTCTCTGTTTGATGCAAAGAAACCGGTCTCACCAACATGTGAAGCTCTGTCTAATAGTGAAGCCAGCCACTGATTTATGGCTTTCTTGAGAGGCAGAATCTATTGTTTTAAGAGTACTGAAGTAATACATAGGAAAGATCTCTCGAACAAAGTACTTTTTTGTTCGTTGATTAAAAAAAATCCATTATGCTCTCCTTCTTCATTTATTTACATGTCTGCTCCCCGAACTTCCTTAGCAGTTGCAGCTCTTCTGGCTGGTGTTCGTTGCACCATTCAAATGATTGCATCTCTTACTGGGAGATATAAAACTATCTCCATATATTTGCTCTGGAAAACATAACCTCCCCCTTCTCTCAAGCAACAGCTCTTCAAAAGTGGGTAAAGGATCAGTGGAGCTGTAGTGAAGGAGAATGGTAACTTCAGTACACAAACCATGGAAAATAACTCTGTAGGACAGCCTTTTACTGCTGCAGGATTGTTCATTGCTAAATAATCTGATTGTTTTCTATCTTCCTCTAGAAGACATTGCAAGTCTTTTAATTTTTTGACAAGCATACATCTTGCTATTTTCTTCTTATGACTGAAAATGGGTGGTGGAAGAGAGCCTGAGGTCAGGACATAGGTGGTGGTGCAGTGGCTTCAGTGAAACAAGAAATAAACCATGTGTTTCAGTGTTTATAGTGGAGGGTGTTTTGCCAGTGTGCATGTTTGTTGAAGCAGAGTTCATATCAGGAGGCACTGTGCACAAAACATTTATTAACATACTCTTATCTGAAGCCATGCTCTCTTATCTGTTGGGTGAAAGTTCATCAGCCTACAGGGCCAGATTGTTTGCTTCCTTTAGATCAACTTGTATGGCTAGAGACAAGGTCTTACTGTGACAAACCGAAGAAAAATGCAAAAGAGCAGACAGACAGACATGGTCCAGGCCTTGCATGAACAGTCTCCCACCCTGATGAGATGCAAAAACTGTGCTTCTGTTTTCAGACCTCTCCGAGTCTGGTTGTCAGTTACGCCCAGTCCAAAGCAGGTGCCCACAAGGTGAGCATCAAACCTTTTCTTTCTCCTGACCTGTAGCACACGCTCATCTTAACCTAGGCTTCTGCTGCAACACCCATCCCTCTTCCCTGAGGGTTTCTCCTTCAGACCTATTGCTGACACTTTACACATGTTGCATTCAATCATAATCACTTTT